GTAGCTCACAGAACTCAGGGAAACATTTTACTTACTAGGTCACTGATTTATTATATAAAGATATGACACAGTAGAAACAGGTAGAAGAGATGCACAGGGAAATATATGGAGAAAGAACATGAAGCTTTTATGCTCTCTCCAAGAGCACCGCTCTCCCCACAGCTCCATGTGCTCACCAACCCAGAAGCTCTCTAAACCCTATCATCTTGGGTTTTTTGGAGACTTCAATACAATACAACACTTATACCTATAAGTAATTAAATCATTAGCCATTGGCAATTAATTCAACCTCCAGCCCATCTCCTCTCCCAGGAGGTTGAAGTGTGAGACTCAAAGTTCTGATTTTCCAATCACACATTGGTTCCTCTTACAACAAGCCCCTACTCTTAGATGACCTGGAGACCTTACAAAAATTGTAGACAGATCAAAGTGGTAAAGTAGAGAAAACCTGGGTTCACCTCTTCCCTCAAATATACCAAAACTACAACTAAATATGAAGCAGCTCTCTCTGAGAATGACCTGAAGACTAGCAGAACAGATTCTTTATAACTATGGGTATAAAGAAAAAACATATTGAGACAGGTGAGAGGGGCAGAGGCGTGGCATACCATAAATGGGAGGGATATCAGATGTGCAGGGAGACCCCCAGAGACCAAGCTCTTGGAGATCCTACTCAGGCTCCCCTGCCTTGGAGACCTGCATCAGGAAGAGGAGCCCCCATAACATCTGGCTGTGAACACCAGGGAGGCTTACATCCCAAAGAGCTGATGGGACTATGGAAAACCAAGAATCCTCCCTTAAAGGGCCCATGCACAAACTCACTCTGAGTCCCAGCACAGAAGAGCAGGTTGAAAGGTGCCTGAGTCATACGTGAGGAAGATGTATGGACTTGTTCTAGACTGTGCCAGAAGGATCTGTGGAGGCTTTCTTCAGGAAGGAGGCACTTGCAGGCACCAATTTTTCATTGTTTGCTTTATTTGTCTTGCTTCCATCCAGAAGGCCAAAACTGGCAGGCACCAGGTCTGACACTCTCCATTAACCTGCTAATTTATCCACCTGCTTAATGTTCCCCCAAAGACCTACCCAGCCCAATCTCCCCACCCAGTCCAGTGTTTACCCAACGAAGCTTCTCTCCACCTCCAACAAGGTGGTCCTCCAAACTGGCATCCCACCTCCCAGTACTCCATGGGTGCTCTAGCAGGCTTGCAAAGTGGCAACATGCCCGCCAGCACCCAGTGGGTGGCACAAGTGTACCCCCAAAGTGGGATTGAGGGGATAGCCTCCTCCCCCACTAATACATCTGCCACAGTTGCAGCCAAGCTTTACAGCCAGGTAGGCCAGAGGGCAGCCAACAGTCTCAGTAGTCTCAACCCAGTTACTGTGGGAGGCCATATGCAGCCCACACTGGGGACACCCCTGGAACACTTGGCCTTGGTGACCACTGAAGTTTGTGCTACTGGGCCCCACCAGACACCTGCATAAGGCCACTCTTTCAATACCTTTAGGTGTAGCTGATCTACCTAATACATAAAAACAAACACAGAGTCCTAGGCAAAATGAGGAGATATAAAATTATGTTCCAAATAAAAGAATGAATCAAAAACCTAGTAAAAGAACTAAATGAAATGGAAATAAACAGCCTACCAGATAGACTTTAAAGTAATGGGCATAAGGATACTTACTAAACTCAAGAGAAGTATTAATGAACACAGTGATAAGTTCAGCAGAGAGATAGAAAATATTCTTATAAAATCAAAACTGAAGAATACAATAAGTGAAATGAAAAATACTCTAGAAGGAATCAAAGGCAAAAGAATGAATCAGCAACATAAAAGAAAGAGGTGGCAGGGGGAAGGAGGGACAAAAACATCGATGTAAGACAGAAATATCGATCAGTTGGCTCCTGCATGTAACCAGGGACTGAACCCACAACCCAGGCATATACCCTGAATTGGAATCTAACCCATGAGCTTTCAGTTTGCAGGATGATGCCCAACCAATTGAGTAACACTGGCCACAGCCTATTTTTAAATTTTTTTGAGGAACCTCCATCCTATATTCCATACTGACTATACCGATTTACATTCCCACCAACCATGTACAAGGGTACATGGCCATAGCCTTGCCAACATGTATCTCTTGTCTTTTTGATGATAGAAATTGTATCCTTGCCTGGTGTGGCTCAGTGGATGGAGTGCCAGCCTAAGCACTGAAACACTGCTGGGTCAATTCCCAGTCAGGGCAATGCCTGGGTTGTGGGCCAGGTCCCTGGTAGGGGGCATGTGAGAGATAACCACCACACATTGATGTTTCTCTCCCTCCCTTCCCCTCTCTCTAAAAATAGATAAATAAAATCTTTTTTAAAAGAAATTCTAACATGTGTAAGGTACTATCTCATTATAGTTTTGATTTGCATTTTTCTGATGAGTAGTAATGTTGATCAACTCTTCATTAGTAGCTGTTGGCCATTTGAATATCTTTGCAAATAATATGTATACAGGTATTTTGCCTGTTTTAAAATCAGTTTTTGTGAGGTTTTTTTTCCTGTTTCTTTTTGTTTTTGTTTTTAGTTATTGAGTTGTATGAATTCATTACATATTTTGGCTATTTTCCCCTTTATCATATACATGATTTACAAATATTTTCTCCCATTTCATAGGTTGCCTTTTCATTTTGTTGATTATTTCTTTTGCTGTGGAGAAGCCTTTAATTTGCTGTAGTCTCACTTGTTTATTTTTGTTTTTGTTGCTTATACTTTTGATATAATACCCATAAAATTATTGCCAAGACTAAGGTCAAGGAACTTTTCTCCATGTTTTCCTTTAGGGCTTTTATGGTTTCAGGTATTACATTTAAGTCTTTAGACCATTTTGAAATAATTTATCTGAGTGCTGCAAGTGAATATCAATTTTTCCAGCACCATCTGTTGAAGGAACTACCCTTTCCCCATTGAGTATTCCTGCTTTCCTTGCCAAATATTAGTTGACCACATATGTATAACTTTATTTCTGGAATCTCCATTCTGTTCTACTGGTCTATGTTTTTATGTTAATACCATACTCTTTTGATTACTATAGCTTTGTAACATCATTTGAAATCAGGAATTGTAATTCCTCCAGCTTTGTTCTTCCTTCTCATGGTTGCTTTGGCTACTCAGGTCCTTTGTGCTTCCACATGAATTTTAGAACTGTATTTTTTTCTGTGAAAAGTTGCATTGGAATCTTCATAGAGATTTCATTGAATCAATAGATGGCTTTAGGTAGTATAGACATTATAATAATAATATTTTTTTCTAATGTATGAACGTAGGATACCCTTCCATTTTATTTGTGTCTTCTTCATTTTTTTTTCAATAGCTCATAGCTTTAAGTTTTCACCTCCTTGGTTAAATGTATTTCTATGTATTTTTTAAAAATCAGTACAAAGTTTTACACTTGCCATGCCATGAATTTAGAGGGAATGAGTTCCAGCAACTCAGGCTCCTTCCCATTAGTTTTCATGAAGTGCGCTTCTCTGGGTGGAGCGGGCTGGTGCTTCAGCTGAGCCCAAGCACTTTTCTCTTTGGCTTCCTTCTTTTCCTGATGGTTTTCCTTCACACATTTTAGGGAGCTATGTTGGCTCTTACAGTGCTTAATATGCTCAACACATATATTAATTCTCTTGGCAAGAATCTTGCCCTTAACTTGTTTGTTCACAACAGTGCCTACCACTTGCTAGGTGACATTGTAGACTCTTCCAGTTTTGCCATGGTAACATTTATGGGGCATTTCCTTTCTTTTCTTTTTTTTAAAACTTTACTTATTTATTTTTAGAGAGTGGGAAAAGGAGGGAGAGAGAGAAACATTGATGTGAGAGACAAACATCTATTGGTTGCCTCTCATACATGCCCAGACCAGGGACTGAACCTGCAACCCAGGCATGTGCCCTGACTGGGAGTTGAACTGGGGTCTTTTGCTTTAGGGGACAATGACCAATCAACTCAGCCACACCAGTCAGGGTTGTATGCTTTTTTTTACAATAGCAGGAGGAGTAATTTAATTTCCTACAATTAGTATTTTTTTAAAATTCTCACCCAAACATATGTTTATTGATTTTAGAGAGAGAAGAATAGAGAGAGAAAGAGAGAGAGAGTGAGAAACACAGAGAAACATCAATGTCAGAGAAATATTGAAGGATTGCTTCCCATACATGCCCTGTCCAGGGATCAAACAACCTAGGTAAGTGCCCTAACCAGCAATCTAACCTGCAAGCTTTTGGTGTTTGGGATGACACTCCAACCAACTGAGACACCTAACCAAGGTAAGGTATTATTCTGAAAGGCCTAGAGAACATACAGTGGGTGATTCTCTTTGTGTTAGTCATTTGGTGAATTACTGAAAAATGGCAGTTCAGGCTGAAAAGAAGGTGTATTTTTTTTGTTCTGTTTTTGATACTATTGTGAATGGAATGGTCTTCTTTATTTCTAGATAATTTATAGTTTGTGGATTTAAGATACAGAAACTGAGAGTTTCTAGATTCGAATGACACTGAATCTCTAGTGAATCATCAACGCCTTCAAAGAATCATTTTATTATCTCCAAGAGACAGGAAGTTGTATCGCCCCTGTAGCTAAAAGGATAGGGGGTGGAATCATTTGGTAATGGCAGTTTTGAAGATTAAGATGGAACCATGTAAGCTGTTTCTGACATCTTCTTGAAATCATTAAACAGGGAGGGAGATTCTGAAATAAAAAAGAAGTCAGGATGAAATTTTTCTTCATCCTATTATTACACAAACATTTTATAACATCATTTGGAAGACCACTGAATTACTCTCAAGAGAATACAAGTGGGATACCTACATCTCTTCAATAGAATCATAAACACTAATATAGGAAAGGAGAATATCTATAATTCTATAGAGCCAATATGTGTTATAGTAATAATGATATCTAATTAATAGGGAGACCACATATATCTTAGGCCAGTTGATCCATTCACCTTTCCCACTTACTTTCCAGAAAGAGATTGTCTTACATTTTCTTAAGATAGGTCAAGTAGTTAAATAACTAAGGCTCAATATACATGACAAATGGTGAAGAGAGTACATGTCAAAATTATTAGGCTCTGGCCAGTGTGGCTCAGTGAGTTGGAGCATCCTCCCATAGACCAAAGGGTTGCTGGTTCAATTCCTGGTCAGGGCACGTACTCAGGTTGCAGATTCAATCCCTGATAGGGGCAGGTATGAGAAAGGAAGTGATTGAAGTTTTTCTCTCTCTTCTTCCCTTCCTCTTTCTCTCTCTTCCTCCCTTTTTCTTTCTCTAAAAGCAATGAAAAAATGTCCTTGAGGAGGATTAAAAAAAATTAGCAGGGAAGATTTTGAAGAAGGATGCTAATTTTTTTTTTTTGCATTGGAATCTTTGTGTCTTAAAATAACTTACTAAAATTATGCAGTGGAGTTCCAGTGCATACAGCTCCATCCACAGAGGTGGGTATCTTGGCCAGTGAACATCTTTCCCAGGTGGGTAGTTGACAAAATTCCTCCAGCAGTGGTCATGCTCTAAGGGAACACAAAACTCAGTTCATTCAACAAATACAACAGAAAGCTACTTAAAAAAAAACAAACTTAAATATATACCATATATAAAGCCCTCTGTCCTATTTGATACTGCAGATGAACTAGATTCCCCCAGAATCCCCCAAAAGTTCAAAGCAGTTCATTTCAAGATAGCTCAGTCCTGTCTGGTGTGGTTCAGTGGATTGAGTACTGACTTGTGAACCGAAAGGTCACCTATTCAATTCCCAGTCCGGGCACATGCCTGGGTTGCAGGCCAGTCCCTAGTTGGGGGTGTGCAAGAGGCAACCTATGGATGTATCTTTCATACATTGATATTTCTCTCTTTCTTTCTCCTTCCCTTCCCCTCTCTCTAAAAATAAATAAATAAAATCTTAAAAAAAAAGAGAGAGAGAGAAAGAAATGGCTGAAAGGCCATACTGGCAAAGTAGAAAAAGGAGTCATATTTTTTATAATTTTCCTACAATGAGTTTCAGACCTGATCCTTTCTTATATTATTTTGAACTTTTACTTCTGAGACTCCCACCCTGAGAAAATTAATCTCCAGCCCTGGAAACATATCACCACCACAATCTCCCATAAGTACTCAAGATTCTTGTTTATTTTATTTTTAATTAAATTCATTAGGGTGACATTGGTTAATAAAATTATCTAGGTTTCATGGTCATATATATAATCCTAAAATATTAAGATTCTTGGTTAATTGCCTTTACCTGGGGCTCTCATGATCTGGATAATCACACCACTGCCAACGAGGTCCCTGAGTCCTTGTCGGTTTTGTTGATCCATGTGGTGATAAAGCCGTGCTACATAAATAACTAAAGTCACACTAGGTCGTTGATGCAAAACTTCTCTAATAGCTTTGCAGCATTCCCAACAGGGACTCCAGGACATGAACCAGGTAATTGAGCAGCTGATGGATGAGCACAAATGTCTTTCTGAAGCAAATTTTTCTATAAAATTGACTTCAGCATGCTTGGTGGTGTTTTTGCCTGAGTTTCGCCAGATCTTGTGACTCGCACCCCACTTGACTTCATAGAGCAAACAGGTCTCTTTCCGGAGCTCTCTGGGGTCAAAGAACGTTTCAAATTCCCAAGGCTCGATTCTTCTCCTAAAATGTAAAAATGCACATTGTCATGCAATTTTTAGAGGAACTTTAAAAATCATTTAATGCTTCCCTCTTCTATAAGATAGATCTAAAACATATCAGGATTTTTTTTTCTGTCTTAAAATTATCTAGGGAGGTCCACTTGAATTAGTAGTGTTTCTATCACAAACACAATGAACAGATTTTTCCCATCTCATGTTGTTTGGCTACCGCTCTCTCCATACCATTGCTTGTTTTTCTTGAATTCAAGTATAAATATGTCCATTTTATCATTATATTCTAATCTTTCTATTTTACTCTTAAGGGTACCATGTCCCAATTGTTAATATTTACTATTCCTCAGGTGCAGAAGCCTTAAATTACCAACAGAATTCTATCGCCAAGACTATGAAGAGAGCAATTTAGCCTAGGATTCCTCCACATTAAATTCTGTATACTAATACTTCATATGAAAGAAATTCAACCTGCTGTAAATGGCATCTTTAAATCCTACTCTCTGTGTGTCTAAACTGCGACTGGACAAACTCAGGATTGTGCTGAGGACTCTCTTTTCCAGTATGGTTGAGTCATAAGCTTATTACATTCTAATGCTTCTCACTCACCCCTAAAGTACCACATTCATTACATACATGAGTCCTTCTATCCATCATAAGATGAAACTTATATATACCTTGACAAAAGTCCCCCTGTCATAATGATTTGTCTGGAAAATGGGCATATAATATAAAACAAGAATATGAAATCAAGGTGACAAATCAGTTCCTTAGACTTTTCACAAATGACTATAAGAATGTGTAATTTAAAGAGAGAAGAGCTCTGTCAGTCTGTTCTTTATTTCAGAGTTCTTCTCTCTTTAAATCATACATTCTTACAGTCATTTGTGAAAAGAGTTCAGAGGGGAGAGGAGAGGGAATTTCAGGGAAATTTCGGGGGAAAAGGAGAAGGGTTTACAGGAATGAGTATAAAGGACACCTGGATAAAAACTAGGGGTGGGGGAAATGGGAGTGAGGAGGGGAGGGCTGGGTGGGTGGGTTGGGATGGGAGTAAAAGATAAAAAATTGTACTGCAACAACAATTTAAATAAAATTTTTTAAAAAAGAAAAAATAAAGAGAGAAGAGAATAGTATGATAATAACAGAACAAAACTGGAAGATAATTTATTTAAGCAGTAAACAAAAGACACAGGAGCTAAGACATAGAAAGCAATCAATCTTCATAGACAATGAAGTTGGAAAAGGGAAAAGGAAGAATGGGAGCATGGTAAAAGAGGAAAAATTTATTTTAAAAAGCTGTAGTCCTCCAACTATTTTTTTTTAAGAGAGAGAAACATTGGTTTGTTTTTCCACTCATTTATGCATCCATTGGTTGACTCCTGCATGTACCCTGACCAGGGATCAAACCCACAACCTTAGCATATTGGGACAACACTCCAATCAAATGAGATACCTGGCCAGGGTAGTCCTCCAACTTTTAAATATCAGCTTATTCTTGGTTGAATGAAGTGCAAAATAAGATAGCATTATTCTTACCTCAAAGTGGGATCACCAGCTGGAAGACCTGTTGACCAAGAGATGAGTATGTCAATAACAACCATACACAAATTGAGTTAAGGAAAAAAAAAATGCTCTATTCTTATAAAACTGCCAACAATATCAGAAAATAGAAGATTCTCTCCTGGATTAATTGGGTTAGACTAGTTTAATGCATCAAGAAAAGAAAGATTTTTAAGGGCTCTGGTGAAATCTATTTGCCCAAATGAGGTAATCTTCCTTATGACTCCAACAGAATGACTAAGTGCAATGAATGCATCACTTTTAAGAGCCTCCTAGGTGTCATTCCTATGTGCCCTCACAGCATCCTGCACTTCTTTTATCACAGCAGCTATCATGCTGCATCATGACTACCTATTTGCATGCCTATAATAAAACTGAATTGTAAGTTATGTGAGATGTGGATTACGTATATTTTATTCCACACCCTAATTTACTGAGTAAATGACTAAATGAACTTCACTACATATCTACACCACAGAATAACTATCTATCTATCTATCTATCTATCTATCTATCTATCTATCTCTATATATCTATATTTCTACAGAGAGTAAGACATTGGATTTCTCATACATTGCTGCTGGGAATGTAAATTGGTACAGTCACCCTGGAAAACTGTTTGGTAATTTCTTAGAAAAAAATAAACTAAAAATATAAGCACCATACAACCTAGCAATTCCATTCCTGGACATTTATCTTAGAGACAGGAGAACTTATGTTTACACAAAAGTCTGTACACAAATGTCCATATTAGCTTTATTTGTAATATTTAAAAATTGGAATCCGCCCATACATCCTTCAACAGGTGAATGGTTAAACAATTTGTGGGACATCTGTACCATGGAATACTACTGTGCAGTAAAAAGTAACAAACTGTTGATATATGCAACAACTGGGATGAATCTCCAGGGAATTATGCTGAGTGGGGAAAAAAGTTAATCGCTAAAAATTGCATACTGTATGATTTCATGATATAGCATTTTAAAATGACAAAATTCTAGAAGTAAAGACAGACCAACAGCTGTTATCAAGGGTTAGGAATGGGGTCAAGCAGGAGGGAGGAGGGTTTGATTATAAAAGGTATCTGTACCACTGGATCTGTTCAGACTTGATTGTGGGGGTAAATACACAAACCTATAAGGTGACAAAATTGCATAAAGCTAAACACACACACAAAAGAGTACGAGTAAAACAGGAGAAATCTGAATAAAATTGGTAGATTTTGTCAATGTTAATATCCTGGTTGTGATATTGTTCTATAGTTTTATAAAATGTAACTATTGGGGGAAACTGAAAAAAATATACAGGGAGTCTGTCTGTATTATTTCTATTTTTAATGAACTTTTTTCTTTTTTTTCTAATTTTATTTTAATCATTGTTCAAGTACAGTTTTCTGTCCTTTACTCCCATCGCAGCTCACCCACTCCTATCTCCCCACCTCCCTCCCATTTCCACCCCCCCTAGTTTTTGTCCATGTGTCCTTTATATTTGTTCCTGTAAACCCTTCCCATTCTCCCCTGAAATTCCCTCCCCTCTCCCCTCTGGTCACTGTCAACCTATTCTCTGTTTCAGTGTCTTTGGCTATATTTTGCTTGTTTGTTGGTTTTGTTGTTTAGTTTCCTGTTAAAGGTGAGATCATATGGTATTTGTCTTTCACTGCCTGGCTTATTTTGCTTAGCATAATGCTTTCCAGCTCCATCCATGCTGTTACAGAGGGTAGGAGCTCATTTTTTCTTTCTGCTGTGTAGAATTCCATTGTGTAAATGTACCATAGCTTTTTGATCCATTCATTTACTGATGGTCACCTAGGTTGCTTCCAGCACCTAGCTATTGTAAATTGTGGTTCTATGAACATTGGGGTGCATAGATTCTTTTGGATTGGTGTTTCAGGGTTCTTAGGATATAATCCCAACAGTGAAATTGCTGGGTCAAAAGGCGGATTCATTTTTAGTTTTCTGAGGAAGTTCCATACTGTTTTCCATGGCGGTTGTACCAGTCTGCAATCCCACCAACAATGCACTAGGGCCCCCTTTTCTCCACAACCTCTCCAACACTTGTTGTTTGTTGCTTTGTTTATGATAGCTATTCTGACTGGTGTGAAGTGGTATCTCATTGTGGTTTTAATTTGCATCTCTCTGATAGCTAGTGTTATTGAGCATCTTTTCATGTGTCTCTGGATCCTCTGTATGTCCTCCTTGGAGAAGTGTCTGTTCAAGTCCTTTGCCCATTTTTTAATTGGGTTGCTTGTCTTAGAGTGGAGTCGTGTAAGTTCTTTATATATTTTGGAGAGTAAACCCTTGTCTGAGGTATCATTGACAAATATGTTTTCCCATACAGTTGATTCTCTTTTTATTTTAATACTGTTTTCTTTAGCCATGAAGAAGCTTTTTATTTTGATGAGATCCCATTTGTCTATTCTTTCCTTTATGTCCCTTGCTCTAGGGTCAGTAAAAATGTTGCTGCATGGAATGTCTGAGATTTTCCTGCCGATGTTTTCCTCTAGGATTTTTATGGTATCACGACTTATATTTAAGTCTTTTATCCACCTTGAATTTATTTTTGTGTATGGTGTAAGTTGGTGCTCAAGTTTCATTTTTTTGCATGTAGCTGTCCAGATCTCCCAACACCATTTGTTGAAGAGGCTATTTTTACTCCATTTTACGTTGCTGCCTCCTTTGTCAAATATTAATTGACCATAGAGACTTGGGTTTATTTCTGGGCTCTCTGTTCTGTTCCATTGGTCCATGTCCCTATTTTTATGCCAATATCAGACTGTTTTGATTACAGTGGCCTTGTAATACAGTTTGGTATCAGGTATTGTGATCCCTCCTACTTTACTCTTCTTTCTCAAAATTTCAGAAGCTATTCAGGGTCATTTATGGTTCCATATAAATTTTTGAAGTGTTTATTCTATGTCTGTGAAATATGCCATTGGTACTTTAATAGGTATTGCATTGAATCTGTAAATTGCTTTGGGTAGTATGGATATTTTGATGATGTTAATTCTTCCAATCCATGAAAATGGTATATGTTTCCATTTGCTTGTGTCTTCCTTGATTTCTTTCTTCAGTGTTATGTAGTTTTCTGAATATAGGTCTTTTACCTCTTTGGTTAGGTTTATTCCTAGGTATTTTATTTTTTCTTTTTGCTATATTGAATGGGATTTTTTTCTTGATTTCTGCTTCTGCTGTTTCATTGTTGGTGTACAAAAATGCCTTTGATTTTTGGATATTGACTTTGTAGCCCTCAGTTTCGCCAAATTGCAACCAGGCCTCCCCAGGTGCTGTTCAATCCTTGTTTGGCCAGGGAGGGAGCGGTTGACCCAACTCTCTTCCCCATGCCCTGAGGCAGACCCCAGAGCACCAGGCCTGGGTCTGCAGCCTCCCTGGTCCCAGGGCTGATCCCTGGGCCCTTATTATCCTGAAGTGGTTTCCTTACTGTCTGGTTTTTCAATGTCTGCTACAATTTTTGATCTCCAATTTCCATGTATGTTGTAATATTGTTGGCTGCCATCTTCTCTCTCCTCTTTTATAAACTTATTTTAAAAGATTTTTTAAATTTATTTTTAGAGAGAGGGAAAGGGAGGGGAAAAGATAGGGAGAGAAACAGTGATGTGTGAGAAACATCTATCGTTTGCTTCCTGAGTGCCCCCAAGCAGGAACCTTGCCTGCAGCCCAGACATGTGCCCTGACTGGGAATTGAACCAGCGACCTTCCAGTTTGCAGGATTATTACAGAACACAAGGGGCCAAAGGGGGCTGAGGGCAATGTATTATTACCAAAAGAAACCCCCCAGGTTCGTTATGTCCGCTGCCAGAGGAAAGTCCTCTCTCAATGCCAAAGATTCATGAAAAGTAACGGAAATGTTTATTTAATGCTATACAAACTTAAAGCAGTGACTTAATGTCTTCATCAAAATCCCAAAGTCCCTTAAAACACCCACAAACACACACAGTCCTTCCTTCCCCGCTTTGCCCAGTCTGGGGTACCGTATCTCAGGAAAAGAAATAGAAGTCAGTGGCTCAGGCAGCCCCTGGTTCTTCCCAGTAATCCATCTCATCTGGTAGGCCTCCCTTGGTCCCTGGCACCATCAGCTGTGTCATGGGGATCTCTGCTAAAGCCGGGTGATAGTTCCCCCTTCTAAAGCTGTGGGAGTCCCCACTCTGCCAAAGCCACGTGGTTCTCCCTCCAATGGCTGCCACATCTGGGTTTAAATCCCCACACCAATCTTCCTCTGCAGCCCCATTTCTGACTCCTCCCACAATCGTCTATACTTGCCATCACTCTCATATCCTTCCAGCTTTACTGGGCTGCCATCATGAGTCAGGGCAGGCATGGCCCCAGGTCATGGAGCCAATCCTCTCCAAGCTCCCACTCAGGCACTGTAATTAGAGGGACCTGCCTCCAGTTATGTCTTGGTGAGGAAGTTACTTCCATTTCCCCAGCTCAGAGCAGGGTCACAGCTATTTAACATATCTATGTAACCAGTTAAAGGTTATAGATATGTTAAATGACCATACTAGAGGTTAGCTGCAAAGCTGTTGCTATGCAAAATAGCTCTCAATGGCCCTGCTCCATTTGTCCTTTCCCTTAACCCACACCTGTGGGGGAAGGGGGTGAGGACATCCTAATATTTCCTGGACACCTTGAGTTCTGGACCCCATTCCAAATCCCTATTTGGGGTCCCCCCTCTTGGCTGCACCCTGTTACAGGATGACACCCAACCCACTGCACCACACCAATCAGGGCTGTAGTGTTTCTTAAGGCTTCATGTTTTAAGCTATGATTATCTCAATTAAAATTACAATTTACAGAAACAATATTTGGTAGTATGGAGAGAAGCTGGGAAACCATAGGCTTCAAATATATATATATATACATGTTTTAACTACAAATCAAGAGAAAGGAGAAAAGACATCTGCATAAGTGATGAGTGAGAAAAAGCATTTGCAAAAAGCATACAGGGAGATATCATTAAACCAGTGAAAGAGAACCAGCCCAGTGGTTACTAAAGGCATTGACAGCAAAATCCTGCTACATAGAAGCTCTCAAAGGTGGAAAAATTCTCTCTTTCAATCATGTTACCCTGGAAGGAGGAAGAGAAATAGGCAATAATCATTGCTCTTAGGAAAAGGACAGAACAGTGGGACCGGCAGCAGAACTGGGAGCTAGGAAGTAAAAATTGATGCTGTATGTCACCAGCTCCCAATGCACAAGGTATCAGAGAATGGGATACAGCTGTCCCCCTTCACCCACAAGGGATGCGTTCTGAGACCCCTCAGTACAAGCCTGAAACCACAATGGTATTGAACTCTTTATATACCATATTGTTTCTTATATATACATACCTATGATCAAGTTCAACTTATACATTAGGCATGGTAAGAAATGAACAACAATAACTAATAATAAATAGAACAAGTATAACAATATATTGTAATAAAAGTTATGTGAATGTGCTCTATATCTCAAAATATCTTATTGCACTGTACTTAACTTTTCACTTTAAAAAAGCCCTTTACGGTTTCTCCTTGACAAATCTGAATTACCAGCATCACTACTCTTGTGCTCTGGGGCCATTATGAAGTAGAGTAAGGGTCACCTGAACACAAGCACTGTGATACCACGACAGTCAATCTGGTAACCCAGAAGGCTACTGTGTGACTAAGGGCAGGCTGAAAACGTATACAGCATGGATACAGTGGACAAAGGGGTGCTTCATATCCTGGGTGGGACAGAACAGGAAGACACAAGATGCATCACACTGATCAGAAGGACACACAATTTAAAACTTATGAATTGTTTGTTTCAGGATTTTTAGTTACTATTTTCAGACTGCCGTTGACTGCAGGTAACTGAAACCATGGGAAGTGAAACCATGGATAAGGGAGGACTGTCCTCCTGATCCCTGCTTCAGTCAGAAGACTCCCTGGGATTACCGGGAGCCCAGCTGGTCCTGTGCCCTTCAACTGGCTATCACAAAGGGGCAAAATATCCAGGACAGCCAGGAAGAGGGTATTAGTGACCAGCAGATAAGTCACCCCTGGAACTTGGCAAAGTACAATCTACACAGGGTGGGGAGAGATTCACTTACATATTCTTTCAACAAGTTCTAAGAGCCTATTAAATGTTAGTCACTGTTCTAAGTAAAATAGAGGAAAAAAAACAAACCCTTATCTTCATGTCAGTAGAGCTTATAAAGGGAGAGAGTGTAAGTAAACAAATACAGATATTAATTTAACAGTGTCAAGTGCTGTGAAAAGCATTGTAAGGAGAACAAAAGTGAAGGCGGGATCAGGCAACCTTGCAGAGGTGGGTCAGGGAAGGCTTTTTTGAAGAGTTCTGAATGGAAAGTGAAGCAAGACATGTGGACATCAAGCAAGAGCATTCTGAGAAGGGGAAACAGCAAGTGCAAAAACTTAAGGTGGGAAGACGTTGACATGTTTGAGGAAGAACGAGGAATAGCCTTGCTAGGTCAGAGTGATCAAGATCTACAATGGTGGCCCTGGCTGGTGTGGCTCAGTGGGTTGGAGCATTGTACATAAACCAAAGCTGCAGGTTCAACTGGCGGTCAGGGCACACACCTAGGCTGCAGGTTTGTCCCTGGTAGGGGCACGTGCAAGAGGCAACAGATTGCATCAGTTATTTCTCTTCCTCCCTCTCCCTCCCTTTCCCTCTCTCTAAAATCAGTGGGCAGGTGAGGATGAAAAATAGAAAGATACACAATGATAAGAGATGAGCCTGACCATATAGGGCCTTCTAGAGAGTGTGGGAATTATTCAAATTAAAAAAAAAAAAGTACTAGATTTCAGAGGATTGTGTCTCTCAAGACCCAGAACTTTGGGGATGAAATGTGCATTGATCTGGCCTGGATCTGGACTAGTCATGCGGCAGATTCCAAAACTTGGAGAGCAGAGAGACAACTCATGTGTTTTACTTGGGACGACCTAGGACGTTTAGTTTGGCAACAAGAACTCATGTTAAGGATTTCCCCTCTAGTTATTTGGAAACTAAAATTTGCCTGGGGAGGCATTAAAAGGCTCAATTACCATCACTAATGTCTCTTTTCCAAGAAAGCAGAGGTCCGTAAAGCTAGACACAGAACTGAAGGTTTTCCCACATGACACCCCTTCTCAGTGGGTCCGAGAGACACACAGAAGGCCCTCCCACTCTGAGAGCGAAGTGGCAGTGTGGACGTGCAGACAAAAGGTTGAACCCGCCCTCCTGGCCAAACCTTAACTCTCAGGTGCTATTTCTGAACCACAGTCACATCCGGGTGACACTTCCTCCGAAACAGGAGGTGTTCTGCTCAAGGCCGTGTGTGTGTGTGTGTGTGTGTGTGTGTGTGTGTGTGATAGAAACAATCCCCAGCCCCTGGGGTCTTTTGTTCCTCTAGATTCTTCATCCCCGCCATCACCATTGTATCAGGAACTGTGGGTGTCAATGCCAGAGTTTTGTAAAAAGGAAAGGAACTATTTAGTTAAAAGTTATACAGGTTTTAGAATAATGGAATTCTGCCATTAAATCTCACTCCCTTTAGAAACGAAGATACACCCACAAACACACAGTCCTGCCGTCCCCCCTTTGCCCAGTCAGGCCAGTCTCAGAGCACGCCAGTCAGAAGTACCGCCTTCCAGAAGGAAAAATACAGAAGTCTGTAGCTCACTTCTGGTTCCTCCCAGTCATCCGTGCTCTGCTGGGCAGGTCTCCCACAGCTTCCAGCACCATCAGCTGTGTCCCCTCAGTCTCCAGTTCTTAATCCCAAACCACTTGGCACCTCTTCATGGCGGGCCAATGAGAGTCTTTCCACCCCTCTTTTCCCCCCACATGATCCCACATTATCTCTCATCTTACATAGTGGCCTGTCTTTTTGTTTAAATCCCAGTCTGAAACTTCCTCCATAACCCCAATTCCAATTCCTCCCACAATCGGCTACACCTGCTAGCACTCTCCTGTTCTCTGCCTTTCATGGCTGCCATAGTTATTAGTTCAAACAGCTGTGGCCCCATGGGGTGGAGTGAACCATCTTCAAACTCTCACACAGGCTCTGTAATGGGTGGGGGGAGCTGCCTCCCAGCTACATCATGGGTCAGGATACAGAACAGAGTCAAGAAACACTAGCCTAAGTGTGACCTGAAGAATAAACTTCACCCCTAAAAGAAGGAACAGGGAATTTGAGCACTCAGAAGGAAAAGAAAGGGGGTGGCTGAGACCTTGGAATGGGTACTGCTCAGACCTTAATCCAAATCAGGGCCCTGCAACCAGCTGATCTACTCCAGAGGGGGCCTTACAGAAACAGAGAGGCCGTACCTGCAGAAGAAGGTCATGTCGATGATGGGAGGGCACTTGCTTTGAAGGAAGTGAAGCAGCAGTGAGAACTTCAGAAAGAGAGAAAGTGAGATATATTCTCAGTATCTACCCTTGGGAGGTGAAGCAAAGATGCCAGCCGTGTGAGTCAAGAAGTTTTGAGGGGTAAAACACACCACTTTTTTAGCAAAGTCCAGGGAAATTAACCTCTTACTCCAACTAAATAATGTCTTTAGTCTTTCCCCCAACATGACACTCACAAGACAATTTTAAAAGGGAGACAATATAATGGAGAAAAAAATATTGTTTTCTAAAACCCAAGACTGATAGCGTATTATCCCCAATCACGTCATGCCCACACTCTTGCAATAGTCTTCTAACTGGTCTTCCTGCTTCCAGTCTTTTCTGCTTCCAGTCCAGAAGGCATCAGATGCCAGGTACATGTGCCTAAAGCATTATTTCAGTCATCTCCAGGTTATTTCCAAGTTCTCCAGAGACGTTCTCTTACCAAAAGGATTGACCTCAATTTCCTTAGCCTGGCATTCAGGGCCCACTATAATAACACATCAAATTTGCCTTCTAATTTCACTGTAGATTATTTCCACAAACTCTTCTCTACCCTAACCAGTTTACTCCGTATATCCCAAACACAATTCCCTCAAAATCTTGTGTCAACCAACGTGGAATCACCTTCTGTTTGCCAACCTAAATTCTACCCTTTTAGAATCCAGTTCCAATCTTATCTGATCTGAAAATTATTTCCTTCCAGAGCATGATGTGTTCTCCCTCTCTCATGAATGTTTTAAAGTTAACTAACTAAACCTTAAATAATTTACATGCCCCTGTGTCATCACTTCTGTTGGTATCTTAAATAGTTATTTAACAGTTATACATTTTCTTGAATTTTTTATTATGGTGAAACAAGCATTGACTTAGTAGTGTCATTTGATCAAAATTACTTGTGGATAGGAATAGTTACTATTAATAATAATAATAAATCTTATTTAACCAAGAACAGCCAGTCACCATTCTGGCAAAACTTCAGATTAATCCTCCTCAAAAAATAATACCAAAAAAGAACAAAAAAGAAAACAGAAACAAAAACAAATGATAATACCCACAGGAAGGCAGATAATTTTTAATAAAGTAAATAAAATTACATTTTTAAGAGAATGGTATTAATATAATAATAAGTAGGAAAGTTGGAAAATGCCCAAGGACACAAGCAAGACACACACACAAAGAATTTCTGCTCTCTTCAAGAATATGAAGCTTACCAGGACCTCGATCCATTTCACCTGTGTCAGAAGCCATGGCGGCCGGTCACTAGACTTCTTCCTTGGAGCTACAAATTGTGCTGATTGCTCCGTCTGGCAACGCCTGAACATTCTTTTCTGGTGTGATGACTGCCACATGCTTGAGCAGAGAATGACTCATTCCTGAGTCTCAGGCACTTACTGGGTATCTAGGCTGTACGCACAGGTAGCAGATTAAGAGAGAATTTGGTGTGAGGTTTCAAAACAGTTTATGGTGCCAATAATTAATTCTGTAGAGTAAATCCCTGAGGATATCCAAATTACAAAGTTCTTCCCTATAATATCTAAATTTTAAAAGGTTTCCTTTAAGTTAAGGCTAAGGCAAGACTGACACATCGTTCTTCCTTGGTGAACTGGCCTTGTTCTTTAGCTACTTTTCATTTATTTATAACTTCCTCTTATTTTGCTCTTTGGCCCAGATCCTGTTGGAAAGGGGAGGGGTGCTGATAGATGCAAAATCAGAAGGACTTTAGCTTCTGAGTCAGGTAAGGCAAAGTTCACTTATGGTTTTATACCCTCCGCTAAAAAGTGAGTACTATACACCACAGGTGGCAAACACAAGGCCGAGGGGTCAAAGACAGCCCTTCACCCTTTTTATCCAGCTCAGCACCTTGTTTCCACCTAGCAGCAGTGCTGAGCTCCTTGCCCCTAGTTAAAGAGTAGTTACACTTATACAGTCCTAAAATTACATTCGGCCCTTTGAAGGCAACCGTGAGGCTGATGTGGGCCCTGGTGAAAATCAGTTTGACATGCCTGCTATACATAGTCCCTATCACCATTGCTACCTGTTGCCCAATACCTGGGTCAGCTCCTTGGAGTTTTGGCACACATTCCCAGAATTGCGGTCTCAGATCTAGAGCCCCTGAACTTGGAATCTCAAACCTTATGAAACCAACACCTGCGTCCTAAATATAAGACTTTCCTTAACTATGAAAGTCAAGTTGGAGCCCTCACAAGATGAAGCAGTTGTTTGGAGTGGCAGGTGAGAGTTGAAGAAGGAGCAGAGTGCCACGTCGTAGAAGAAGGTCCTTGAGAAGCCAAGAATTTCTCGTGTGGTAGGTAGAATAATGATCCCCCTCCTAATTCCTGAAACCTATAAGTATGTTACCTTATAAATGCAAAAGTAACTTTGAAGAGGTGATTAGGGTAAGGATCTTGAGGTAGGGTGGTCACAATCCAATCACAGAGACCCTTAAAAGAAGGAGGCAAAAGAGCCAGTCAGGGAAGGACATGTGATGATGGAAGCAGAGATGAGTGATGTGATTACTGGCTGAAAAGGGGCCATGATTCAGGGCATGAGGACAACCTCTAGAAGCTGGAAAAAGCAAGGAAGTAGATTCTTCCCTTGATCCTTGTGAAGTAATATTGCCCTGATAACATCTTGATTTAGTGAGATTCTATTTTGTACTTCTGGCCACCAAAGCTGTAAGAAAATTCATGCTATTTTCCACCATTAAGTTCGTGGAAATTTGTTACAGCAGCTATAAGAATCTCATACAGTAAGACACACGCACAGGTGGCACGTGTGCAATAGTTAAGGTGGTATATAATTTGAATTTGTTTCCACTAGAATTCTTCTTGAATGCTTGATCCATCTTCTGTTTTGTTTTCAAAGAGATTGAAGATAGGTCAGTGTCCTATGCCTGGAAATTCATGAGTTTTTAAAAATGTATATATATACTTATGTGACCATTCCACAATCAAGGTATTTAAAATTCTCATCACCCTAAAAATTCTCTGCCAATCTTGCTACTCCCAGTCCCAAACAACTGCTGATATTTCTGTCACTATAGATTAGTTTGTACTGCTCTATAATTTCATACAAATGGAATCATAGAAGGTTTTTGCTCAGTTTCTCTGTAAAACTGATCTATGTGATTAGGTATGTCAGAGAACCATTTCTCTTTATTGACGGGTAAATTCCTTTATATTGGTATGATACAATTGTTTTATTCATTCATCCACTGATGGACTTTGGGTTATTTCCAGTTTTAAGCTATTATGCATAAGGATGATATTAACATTGTATACACTTCCTTATATAAACATGTTTCTTTTTCCTTCTCTTGGGTACAGAACCTGGGAGTGGAATTGCTAGATCAAACTGGTAAGTGTATATTTAACTTTTAAGGCCCAACTGTGTGCCCTGGCTGGTGTGGCTCAGTGGACAGAGTGCCAGCCTGTAAACTGAAAAGTTGCCAGTTTGATTCCCAGTCAGGGCACATGCCTGGGTTGTGGGCCAGGTCCCAAGCTGGGAGTGTGGAAAGACAACCAATCCCATATTGGATATTTCTCTCTCTCCTTTCCCCTCTCTTTAAAAACAAATAAATAAAATCTTTAAAAAAAAGAAAATGCCCAATTGTTTTACCAGTTTATGGCCTCACCAGGAGTATGTGAGTTTCAGTACCTCAATCCCCTCAGCAACATTTGTAATGTCAACCTTTTTAGTTGCACATTTATGTGACTTTAGTATCTTACAGTGATTTTTTAAAAAGATTTTATTTAGTTAATTTTAGAGAGAAAGGAGTGGAGGGAGAAAGACAGGGAGAGAAACATCCACATGAGAGAGAAACATCAGTCAGTCCCCTCTTGCATGCCCCCAATCAGGGACCTGGCCCACAACCCACACGTGTGCCCTGACCGAGAATCAAACCGGTGACCCTTGGGTTCGCAAGCTGGCACTCAACTCCAGTCAGGGCAGCGCTTATTTCTAATAGGGTTTTTTGGGGTTTTTTTTTTTTACAGATTCCTTACTCTTTTCCAGGCAGCTGATCATATTGTAACTTCTTCCTTTCCAACATGTATGCTATTTATTTTGTGTTGCCTTATTGTGATGACGAAGTACTTCAATAAAAAGTTCAATAGAGAAGACGAGAGTGAATATGTGTTTTTCCCAATCTTAGGGGGACAGCATTCAGCTATTCAGCCTTGAGTATAATGTTAGCTGTAGGTTTTTTACAGATGCCCTTCATCAGGCTAAAAAAATTTCTCTCCATTTCTATTTTGTGGAGCATTTTTATCATGAATTGTGGTGAATTTTGCCACATTTTCTTTTGCATCTATTGGGATGATTATCTGATTCCCTCACCCACTTCAAGGCCTGTGAGTGAGTGGGCCTGCCATTAAATAAGCTCACAAGTCTTGAAGTGTCATGCTGTACAAGTGTACTTTATATTTATTAATATTATTATTATTAATATTAATATTTATATTTATATTTATATTTTGGAGTTAGAGTCCTAACCCTAACCCTATCCTGTACTGTCCTGCCCAAATCACAGCATATATCTTGACTTACAGAGCTCATGCCTGTTTACAGACTTATCAAACAGATTTAAGACTTGAATGAAGATATAGGACGATGTGGGGCCAAGGCCACAGCGCCTCTTCCTCTCTAGGGTACGACCATGGCCTCAGGAGATAACATGATGAACTCAGGAGTGAACAAACCTGCCAAAAACAAAACTATGAGCAGAAGGAAATAGCCACTATCATTTTATAACTTTTAAAAAATAAAGTAAATGTATTAAACACAGACCCCAAAGGAAAAGACTAAGGAAATACATCAGTACCAATTCAGTTCAATTCAGAAGTAAATTTAACAATGCAGCCTCAGGAACTGTGATCATCTGGGCTTTGGATACACATTTGCAATTTCAGAAACAAGCCCAAACAACTCAAGGCTTAAGGTAAGAAAGACCATGAGGGACAGGTAGACAGATCATCACCAGGTATGGCAGGAGACCAGGATTAGTAAAGTCATTGTTGTGCTCAGGACACAGGAGCAAAGTCACATCCCTCAGAAAGCAGTAGTCTCCCAAGGGAGGTGCCCTGCAGCCTGGGGGGTGTGCACCTGGAAACACCCTGGTGTGAAGAAAGAAAACACTAGAACATCTATTCCTGAAACACTGAGGTGAGAAGAAATTATTAGAACTTCTATTTTATCTAAAAGTAAAACTTAACAGTAATATTTTCAAAATATATATAATACAGTAATATAATAGTTAACACATAATTTTGAATAAATTAATATATATTGGGTATATGCTACTTTTTCACTTGTACATATTCAAATAATTTATAAGCAAATGTGCTATATGTTAAGCTCTATGGTGAAAGTGGCTGTCTTTATTTTTCAGGACCTAGTACAAAATTGGCATATAACAGACACAATAAAAATCTGTTGCATGAAATAAAAGTGAAACTGTGGAGATAAATTAGTTCAGAAATAATCTGCCCTAGGTCCATTTCTCCATCAGGAAGAATGTTGGCGTTGAGGAGAGTGTAACTACAATAGCTTCCAGTGCTTTGATGAAACCTCAAATGTGTGGCCTTCTGGCCAAGCGTCTGAGATTTTATATGTTGGAGCCAGCATTGTATCCCTGGGGGTTGCAACATTCCATAAGTTTGCTGTGGCTGAACCAAGAAAGAAAGCATATGCAGATTTGTACAGAAATTATGATTCCGTGAAAGAATTTGAGGATATGAGGAAGACTGGTATCTTTCAGAGAACAAAGTTATTTTGGAATATAAAGAATTTTTGGGCCCTGGCTGGTGGGGCTCAGTGGGTTGAGCACCAGCCTGTAAACCAAGAGGTCACTGGTTCAAATTCCAGTCAGGGTATATGCCTGGGTTGTGGGCCAGGTTCCCAGTTGGAGGTATGTTCATTGATCTTTCTTCCTCCTTTAAATAAAATTTTTTCTTAAAAAAGAATTTTGGGGTGTTGATTTCCATGGAAGTTTGTCACTGACCTGTGTTCTTGAACTATGGAACATGAATATTTTGGCTAAGGAATAGTTTCTATTAATAAATAAACAATTTAACAATTTAAAAAAATAATCTACCCAGCAAGACAATTTGTAATGTTTGGTCAATTTGATATGGGATGTCTGCCCCCCTCCCCAATCAGTATGAGCAGCTTATTTACTTGAGAAAGCAAGCTTAGCATGTAATATTATAAATAAGAAAGCCAAGCCCTGGCTGGCATAGCTCAGTGGATTGAGCGTGGGCTGCGAACCAAAGTGTTGCAGGTTCGATTCCCAGCCAGGGTACATGCCTGGGTTGCAGGCCATAAGCCCCAGCAACCGCACATTGATATTTCTCTCTCTCTCTCTTTCTCCCTCCCTTCCCTCTCTACAAATAAATAAATAAAATCTTTAAAAAAAGAAGATAAATCTCTTAAAAAAAAAAAAAGAAAGAAAGAAAGGCAGAAATCGGTCAAGCATATTGTATAGCCTACTTGAAAAATATGAATAGGAGCGGTGAGTCTGAAATGAATAGAATTCCTCTAGTATCTGGACCTGGAGGTTAACAAATCTTGTCACTTAGATCATGTAACTAATTCCCTTCCTCT